AACATACTTTGGACATGTTGTGAGGAGAGACTGGTCCTTGGAGAAGGACATCATGCTTGGGAGGGTGGAGGGATGGCGCAGGAGGGGAAGGCCCTCTATGAGCTGGATTGATTCAGTGAATCGGAATGGGAGTGTAGGAGACAGTGCGACTGGCACAGGACAGAGCAGAGTTTAGGGCTGTTGTACATAGGGTTGCTATGAGTCACAAGTGACTCGACGGCACATACCAACAACAACAACAACAACATCCAACACTGGCTTCAATTCTCAACTGCAAACACCACCCCTCTGAGGTGAAGGTCCATTCAAGCCCTGAGGCACCCAGGGATTGCCTTGGCTCTTTTACTTCATTAAAAAGGCAGGACCTGTCCCAGGGACAGCTCTCCTCTTCCAAACTCGCAAACATCTGGCATTTTGTCTAATCTGAGGATCAGTCCCAGGGACAGCACTCCTCACAAACCTCCAGCATTATGCCTAATCTGGGGACCTGCCCCGGGGACAACTCTCCTCTAAAATTTTCATCCTCAGTATCACGCCTGATTTAAAGCAATCTCAAATTGTGTAACCTAATTTTGGCTCGTTCAATCCATCTGTCCTTCAAAACATAAGAACTGAAATGGCAAGTAGTCAAGGGTTTATACTCAAACTCTTTCTTTACTGTCCACTTTCATGTATCTCTCTATCTTGGAGTCTACCCTGATTCCATGTTAAAATTCTCTAAAATTTTGCAAAATTGGAAGTCTGTATATGTCTGTGTACTCTCACTCTCTGGCCTAAAAGCACCTAGGATGTGCTACATCACCTCAATTCTTTATACTCCTCCATGAGTTTGATCTGCCTTCCAATTGCTCCTCTTTGAACTGTCCTTGGGAACACCCTTCACAAGGGTTTTCTGCCTCTTACCATTACAAACCTTCAAAACACCAGACTGATTTAAGAAGTTGAACAAAATTCAACTCTAAGCCTAACTAAGCTTCACTCCAGCATACCACTCCCAGCTTTGGCCTCCCTACTTTGATATGGTCCTAGCTTCATCTCTGAAAACACCCAGCAGGTATCATCTAGTTTAAGTATCTGCTATAAGCTGTACATACCATATCACTCCCAGTCTTCAGGCAAAATAAGGCACATATACAGTCTCACTGACTGTCAAGTTACACAAGTCTTAAGTTACCTTACTTCCTATTGCCTTAGCCTGTACCTGAATAACACTCTGTTCACCTTCCTTTCTAAATTCCTTCCAAATGATGTACAGCCAACTACTTCTGCTAAACCATAACTTGCTCACCAAGCCCCTTCTTTTGGCACTGTGCCTTAACTCTCCCTCCTTAAACAATTACTCTGAAAACCACTCACACCGCTATATACCCAAACTCTTGTCGAAAGGTCTGAACCAAGCCACTAAAGTCACTTCAGAAACGCCATTCTCATCAAACAACAGGCACCCAACCCAAGCCTCTCCTACCACACTGAAGCAGGCCCTGTGCAGTCACCCTAACCACTTCCACAGCTATTAAAGTCATGGGTGACCCCCATTAATACCACCTTTCTCAAGTCAAACATGTTCCCCTCACTAAGTAAATTTCCTATGCTCTAAATGCCAATACCCAAGTAGAGGTCTCCAGTAACATTCTCCAAGCCAAGCAGACAATGATACAACAAGCCTCTGGAGAGCCACAAACTATGCAGGCTCCAACTTGGTTCTAAATTATCCAGGGCACCTGCACCTTACTATTCCTTAACCAAAGTCAAATGGCAACCAACCTTTCTCATTGTTAACTGTGTGTCTCTTTACAAGGACCTTTGCTAGTAGCAGTACCAATCAATTTCTCTAAACCACACTCCATCAAAACACCTCAAGCCATTCCATCAGCCCAAACTGAGTGTTCCACAACTCAAGAACACATTCCCATTCACTGTTGGTGCGAGTGTAAAATGGTACAACCACTGTGGAAAGCGATGTGGCGCTTTCTCAAAAAGTTGCAAATAGAGATACCATTTGACCCAGCAATTCCACTACTGGGAATATACCCTAAAGAGACCATAAATGACATCCAAG